TATTATATTTTCAACGTGGCATGGATTCGACGCACTCTAACAATTTTCAGCCGGAGCTATATAATTTGAAAGCACAATATAATACTATCAACGTGGCATGGTTTCGATGCACTCTACTAATTTTCAGATGGAGCTATATAATTTCAAAGCACAGTATTATATTTTCAACGTGGCATGGATTCGATGCACTTTAATAATTTTCAGCCGGAGCTATATAATTTCAAAACACAGTAAAATATTTTCAACGTAGCGTGGATTCTATGTACTATAATAATTTTCAGCCGGAGCTATATAATTTCAAAACACAGTATAATATTTTCAAGGTAGCGTGTATGCGATGCACTCTAATAACTTTCAGCCGGAGCTATATAATTTCAAAACACAGTATAATATTTTCAACGTGGCATGGATTCGATGCACTTTAACAATTTTCAGCCGGAGCTATATAATTTAAAGCACAGTATTATATTTTCAAAGTGGCGTCAAATCGATGCACTATAAGCATTTTCAGCCGGAGCAATATAATTTCAAAACACAGAATCATATTTTCAAAATGGCGTGAAATCGATGCACTCTACTAATTTTCAGCCGAAACTGTATAATTTCAAAGCACAGTATAATATTTTCAACGTGGCATGGATTCGATGTACTATAATAATTTTTAACCGGAGCTATATAATTTCCAAGCAAAGTATTATATTTTCAAAGTGACGTGAAATCGATGCACTATAATCATTTTCAGCCGGAGCTATATAATTTCAAAACACAGTATTATATTTTCAACGTGGCATGGATTCGATGCATTATAATAATTTTCAGCAGGCGCAATATAATTTCAAAGCACAGTATAATATTTTCAACGTGGCATGGATTCGATGCACTATAATCATTTTCAGCCGGAGCTATATAATTTCAAAACACAGTATAATATTTTCAACGTGGCATCGATTCGATGCACTTTAACAATTTTTAACCGGAGCTATATAATTTCAAAGCACAGTATTATGTTTTCAACGTGGCATCGATTGGATGCAATTTAACAATTTTCAGCCGGAGCTATATAATTTCAAAGTACAATATAATATTTTCAACGTGGCATGGATTCGATGCACTCTACTAATTTTCAGATGGAGCTATATAATTTCAAAGCACAGTATTGTATTTTCAACGTGGCATGGATTCGATGCACTTTAATAATTTTCAGCCGGAGCTATATAATTTCAAAACACAGTAAAATATTTTCAACGTAGCGTGGATTCTATGTACTATAATAATTTTCAGCCGGAGCTATATAATTTCAAAACACAGTATAATATTTTCAAGGTAGCGTGTATGCGATGCACTCTAATAACTTTCAGCCGGAGCTATATAATTTCAAAACAGTATTATATTTTCAACGTGGCATGGATTCGAAGCACAATAATAAATTTTAGCCGGAGCTATATAATTTCAAAGCACAGTATAATATTTTCAACGTATCATGGATTCGATGCACTATAATAATTTTTAACCGGAGCTATATAATTTCAAAGCACAGTAAAATATTTTCAACGTGTCATCGATTCGATGCATTATAATAATTTTCAGCCTGAGCTATATAGTCTCAAAACACAGTATAATATTTTCAACGTAGCGTGGATTCGATGCATTATAATAATTTTCAGCCGGAGCTATATAATTTCAAAGCACAGTATAATATTTTCAACATGGCATGGATTCGATGCACTATAATAATTTTCAGCCGGAGCTACATAATTTCAAAGCACAGTATTATATTTTCACCGTGGCATGGATTCGACGCACTCTAACAATTTTCAGCCGGAGCTATATAATTTGAAAGCACAATATAATATTTTCAACGTGGCATGGATTCGATGCACTCTACTAATTTTCAGATAGAGCTATATAATTTCAAAGCACAGTATTATATTTTCAACGTGGCATGGATTCGATGCACTTTAATAATTTTCAGCCGGAGCTATATAATTTCAAAACACAGTAAAATATTTTCAACGTAGCGTGGATTCTATGTACTATAATAATTTTCAGCCGGAGCTATATAATTTCAAAACACAGTATAATATTTTCAAGGTAGCGTGTATGCGATGCACTCTAATAACTTTCAGCCGGAGCTATATAATTTCAAAACACAGTATAATATTTTCAACGTGGCATGGATTCGATGCACTTTAACAATTTTCAGCCGGAGCTATATAATTTAAAGCACAGTATTATATTTTCAAAGTGGTGTCAAATCGATGCACTATAAGCATTTTCAGCCGGAGCAATATAATTTCAAAACACAGAATCATATTTTCAAAATGGCGTGAAATCGATGCACTCTACTAATTTTCAGCCGAAACTATATAATTTCAAAGCACAGTATAATATTTTCAACGTGGCATGGATTCGATGCACTATAATAATTTTTAACCGGAGCTATATAATTTCCAAGCAAAGTATTATATTTTCAAAGTGACGTGAAATCGATGCACTATAATCATTTTCAGCCAGAGCTATATAATTTCAAAACACAGTATTATATTTTCAACGTGGCATGGATTCGATGCATTATAATAACTTTCAGTAGGCGCTATATAATTTCAAAGCACAGTATAATATTTTCAACGTGGCATGGATTCGATGCACTATAATCATTTTCAGCCGGAGCTATATAATTTGAAAACACAGTATTATATTTTCAACGTGGCATCGATAACCGGAGCTATATAATTTCAAAGCACAGTATTATGTTTTCAACGTGGCATCGATTGTATGCAATTTAACAATTTTCAGCCGGAGCTATATAATTTCAAAGTACAATATAATATTTTCAACGTGGCATGGATTCGATGCACTCTACTAATTTTCAGATGGAGCTATATAATTTCAAAGCACAGTATTGTATTTTCAACGTGGCATGGATTCGATGCACTTTAATAATTTTCAGCCGGAGCTATATAATTTCAAAACACTGTAAAATATTTTCAACGTAGCATGGATTCTATGTACTATAATAATTTTCAGCCGGAGCTATATAATTTCAAAACACAGTATAATATTTTCAAGGTAGCGTGTATGCGATGCACTCTAATAACTTTCAGCCGGAGCTATATAATTTCAAAACACATTATTATATTTTCAACGTGGCATGGATTCGATGCACTATAATAATTTTTAACCGGAGCTATTTAATTTCCAAGCAAAGTATTATATTTTCAAAGTGACGTGAAATCGATGCACTATAATCATTTTCAGCGGGAGCTATATAATTTCAAAACACAGTATTATATTTTCAACGTGGCATCGATTCGATGCATTATAATAATTTTCAGCCGGAGCTATATAATTTCAAAGCACAGTATAATATTTTCAACGTGGCATGGGTTCGATGCACTATAATAATTTTTAACCGGAGCTATATAATTTCAAATCCAGCACTATATTTCCAACGTGGCATGGATTCGATGCATTTTAATAATTTTCAGCCGGAGCTATATAATTTCAAAGCACAGTATTATATTTTCAACGTGTCATCGAGTCGATGCACTATAATAATTTTTAACCGGAGCTATATAATTTCAAAGCACAATATTATATTTTCAATGTAGCGTGAAATCGATGCACTATAATAATTTTCAGCCGGAGCTATATAGTTTCAAAGCACAGTATTATATTTCCAAAGTGGCGCGAAATCGATGCACTATAATCATTTTCAGTCGGAGCTATATAATTTCAAAACACAGTATAATATTTTCAACGTGGCATGGATTCGATGCACTATAATAATTTTTAACCGGAGCTATATAATTTCAAAGCACAGTATTATGTTTTCAACGTGGCATCGATTCGATGCACTATAATAATTTTCAGCCGGAGCTATATAATTTCAAAGCGCAGTAAAATATTTTCAACGTAGCGTGGATTCGATGCATTATAATAATTTTCAGCCGGAGCTGTATAATTTCAAAGCACAGTATAATATTTTCAAGGTAGCGTGGATTCGATGCATTATCATAATTTTCAGCCGAAACTATATAATTTTAAAGCACAGTATAATATTTTCAACGTGGCATGGATTCGATGCATAATAATAACTTTCAGCCGGAGCTATATAATTTCAAAGCACAGTATTATGTTTTCAACGTGGCATCGATTGGATGCAATTTAACAATTTTCAGCCGGAACTATATAATTTCAAAGCGCAGTAAAATATTTTCAACGTAGCGTGGATTCGATGCACTCTAATAATTTTTAACCGAAGCTGTACAATTTCAAAGTACTATATTTTTAAAGTGGCGTGAAAGCGATGCACTATAAAAATTTTCAGCGGGAGCTATATAATTTCAAAACACAGTATTATATTTTCAACGTGGCATCGATTCGATGCATTATAAAAATTTTCAGGCGAAGCTATGTAATTTCAAAACACAGTATTATATTTTCAACGTGGCATCGATTCGATGCATTATAAAAATTTTCAGCCGGAGCTATATAGTTTCAAAGCACAGTATTATATTTCAAAAGTGGCGCGAAATCGATGCACTATAATCATTTTCAGTCGGAGCTATATAATTTCAAAGCACAGTATTATATTTTCAACGTGGCATGGATTCGATGCACTATAATAATTTTTAACCGTAGCTATATAATTTCAAAGCACAGTATTATGTTTTCTACGTGGCATCGATTCGATGAACTTTAACAATTTTCAGCCGGAGCTATATAATTTGAAAACACAGTATTATATTTTCAACGTGGCATGGATTCAATGCATTATAATAATTTTTAACCTGAGCTATATAATTTCAAGGCACAGTATTATGTTTTCAACGTGGCATCGATTCGATGAACTTTAACAATTTTCAGCCGGAGCTATATAATTTCAAAGCAATGTATAATATTTTCAACGTGGCATGAATTCGATGCACTTTAATAATTTTCAGCCGGAGCTATATAATTTCAAAACACAGTAAGTGATAATGGAACCCAATTTACAGCATGGGAATTCCAACAATTTTTAAAGGATAATGGCATCAAACAGATTCTTACACCTCCAGGGTTTCCAGCTACAAATGGGCAAGCCGAAAATTTTGTTAAAACTTTTAAAAAATCTCTTGAAGCAAGTTTAAGCTCTGGTGAAAAAGGAAGTTTAGACATAGTGCTTAAGAGATTTCTATTTGATTATCGTACTATGAAGCATTGTACAACAAGAGAGTCTCCAGCTAAACTTATGTTAGGTAGAGAAATGAAAACGCGGTTCGATTTATTAAAACCACCTTTAGTGAAAGACAGAGTGAGAGAAAAACAACTTAGTAACATTCAAAACCATGGGGGTTCTAGAGATATTATTTTTACGGAAGGCACACCGGTCTTTATCCGAGATTTTTCAGACCCAAATAAGGTAGGATGGCAGGAAGCGGTAATTAAGGAGCGTTTAGGTCGACGAACATATGGTTGCACAATATCAAGAACTAATAGGGTGATTAAGCGCCACGTCGACCAAATGATGGCTTATAGTGGTAGTGCTATAAAAAATGACTTAACTACGAAGGAGTTGAACGGTGCTGCTGAAGAATCAAGTCCAAATGTAGAGTCAGCCGTCGCTACTACGGAAGGGTATGCGACTGAGGATGTAAATGTAGGTAGTGGTTGCTCGCGTCTGCGAGAACGTAAAACTAAGATTAATTATAAGGAATAATTCATGAATATAATTTAATTTATACGGAGTAATAATTTGTTGTTGAATATTTCATAATTATAATTGTATAATTTTAAAGTGAATTAAAATGAATTTCAATTATGCTTTACATTTATATTTTATATTTTTTTTTATTTATGTATATCGTGTTTAATTATTATAGTTATAATCTTAGGAGGAGGGCTGTAGAGTTTAAGCTTTTATGTAGATAGAATAAGCTTTGTATAAGAGTAAGCTTGTAAGTTAAAATAAAATAAATAAAAATCAGTCTTGATCGAAACCTAATCGTAAACATTACAATAATTTCAGCCGGAGCTATTAATTCAGGTCACAGTAAGAATATTTTCAATGAGCGTGATTCGATGCATCAAATTTTTAACCGGAACTATATAATTCAACACACAAGTATGATATTGCAAACGGTGCAATCGATTCGATGCATATAAAATTGTCAAGCCGGAGCTAATAGTTTTCAAGCACATATGTAATTCAAACGTGGCAAATGGATTCGAATGCGACAAATAATTTTTAACCGGAGCTATAATAATTTCAAGAGCACATATATGTTTTCAAACGTGGCAATCGTTCGATGAACTCAACACAATTTGTAGCGGCACAAGATTCAAACTCAGTAAAATTTTCAACGTAGCGTGGATTCGATGCATTATAATAATTTTCAGCCGGAGCTATATAATTTCAAAGCACAGTATAACATTTTCAAGGTAGCATGGATTCGATGCACTCTACTAATTTTCAGCCGGAGCTATATAATTTCGAAACACAGTATTATATTTTCAACGTGGCATGGATGCGATGCACTTTAATGATTTTCAGCCGGAGCTATATAATTTCGAAACACAGTATTAAATTTTCAACGTGGCATGGATGCGATGCACTTTAATGATTTTCAGCAGGAGCTATATAATTTCAAAGCGCAGTAAAATATTTTCAACGTAGCGTGGATTCGATGCATTATAATAATTTTCAGTCGGAGCTATATAATTTCAAAACAGAGTATAATATTTTCAAGGTAGCGTGGATTCGATGCACTCTACTAAATTTCAGCCGGAGCTATATAATTTCAAAACACAGTATTATATTTTCAACGTGGCATCGATTCGATGCACTATAATAATTTTCAGCCGGAGCTATATAGTTTCAAAGCACAGTATTATCTTTCCAAAGAGGCGTGAAATCGATGCACTATAATCATTTTCAGTCGGAGCTATATAATTTCAAAACACAGTATAATATTTTCAACGTGGCATGGATTTGATGCGCTATAATAATTTTTAACCGGAGCTATATAATTTCAAAGCACAGTATTATGTTTTCAACGTGGCATCGATTCGATGCACTTTAACAATTTTCTGCCGGGGCTATATAATTTCAAAGCAAAGTATTATATTTTCAACGTGGCATGGATTCGATGTATTATAATAATTTTCAGCCGGAGCTATATAATTTTAAAGCACAGTATAATATGTTCAACGTGGCATGGATTCGGTGTACGATAATAATTTTCAGCCGGAGCTATATAGTCTCGAAACACAGTATAATATTTTCAACGTGGCATGGATTCGATGCACTATAATATTTTTCAGCCTGAGCTATATAATTTCAAAGCACAGTATAATATTTTCAATGTAGCGTGGATTCGATGCACTCTACTAATTTTCAGCCGGAGCTATATAATTCCAAAACACAGTATTATATTTTCAACGTTGCATCGATTCGATGCACTTTAATAATTTTCAGCCGGAGCTATATAATTTCAAAACACAGTATAATATTTTCAACTTGGCATGGATTCGATGCACAATAATAATTTTTAACCGGAGCTATATAATTTCAAAGCACAGTATTGTATTTTCCACGTGGCATGGATTCGATGCACTTTAATCATTTTCAGCCGGAGCTTTGTAATTTCAAAACACAGTATTATATTTTCAACGTGGCATGGATTCGATGCATTATAATAATTTTCAGCCGGAGCTATATAATTTCAAAGCACAGTATAATATTTTCAACGTAGCGTGGATTCGATGCACTCTACTAATTTTTAGCCGAAGCTATATAATTCCAAAACACAGTATTATATTTTCAACATGGCATCGATTCGATGTACGTTAATAATTTTCAGCCGGAGCTATATAATTTCAAAGCACAGTATTATATTTTCAACTTGGCATGGATTCGATGCACAATAATAATTTTTAACCGGAGCTATATAATTTCAAAGCACAGTATTATATTTTCAAAGTGTCATCGATTCGATGCACTATAATAATTTTCAGCCGGAGCTATATAATTTCAAATCCAGCATTATATTTCCAACGTGGCATGGATTCGATGCATTTTAATAATTTTCAGCCGGAGCTATATAAGTTCAAAGCACAGTATAATATTTTCAACGTGGCATGGATTCGATGCACAATAATAATTTTTAGCCGAAGCTATATAATTCCAGAACACAGTATTATATTTTCAACGTGGCATCGATTCGATGTACTTTAATAAATTTCAGCCGGAGCTATATAATTTCAAAACACAGTATAATATTTTCAACTTGGCATGGATTCGATGCACAATAATAATTTTTAACCGGAGCTATATAATTTCAAAGCACAGTATTATATTTTCCACGTGGCATAAATTCGATGCACTTTAATCATTTTCAGCCGGAGCTTTGTAATTTCAAAACACAGTATTATATTTTCAACGTGGTATGGATTCGATGCATTATAATAATTTTCAGCCGGAGCTATATAATTTCAAAGCACAGTATAATATTTTCAAGGTAGCGTGGATTCGATGCACTCTACTAATTTTCAGCCGGAGCTATATAATTCCAAAACACAGTATTATATTTTCAACGTGGCATCGATTCGATGTACTTTAATAAATTTCAGCCGGAGCTATAAAATTTCAAAACACAGTATAATATTTTCAACTTGTCATGGATTCGATGCACAATAATAATTTTTAACCGGAGCTATATAATTTCAAAACACAGTATTATATTTTCCACGTGGCATGGATTCGATGCACTTTAATCATTTTCAGCCGGAGCTTTGTAATTTCAAAACACAGTTTAATATTTTCAACGTAGCGTGGATTCGATGCACTCTACTAATTTTTAGCCGAAGCAATATAATTCCAAAACACAGTATTATATTTTCATCGTGGCATCGATTCGATGTACTTTAATAATTTTCAGCCGGAGCTATATAATTTCAAAGCACAGTATAATATTTTCAACGTAGCGTGGATTCGATGCACTCTACTAATTTTCAGCCGGAGCTATATAATTTCAAAGCACAGTTTCATATTTTCAACGTGGCATGGATTCGATGCACTATAATATTTTTCAGCCTGAGCTATATAATTTCAAAGCACAGTATAATATTTTCAATGTAGCGTGGATTCGATGCACTCTACTAATTTTCAGCCGGAGCTATATAATTCCAAAACACAGTATTATATTTTCAACGTTGCATCGATTCGATGCACTTTAATAATTTTCAGCCGGAGCTATATAATTTCAAAACACAGTATAATATTTTCAACTTGGCATGGATTCGATGCACAATAATAATTTTTAACCGGAGCTATATAATTTCAAAGCACAGTATTGTATTTTCCACGTGGCATGGATTCGATGCACTTTAATCATTTTCAGCCGGAGCTTTGTAATTTCAAAACACAGTATTATATTTTCAACGTGGCATGGATTCGATGCATTATAATAATTTTCAGCCGGAGCTATATAATTTCAAAGCACAGTATAATATTTTCAATGTAGCGTGGATTCGATGCACTCTACTAATTTTCAGCCGGAGCTATATAATTCCAAAACACAGTATTATATTTTCAACGTTGCATCGATTCGACGCACTTTAATAATTTTCAGCCGGAGCTATATAATTTCAAAACACAGTATAATATTTTCAACTTGGCATGGATTCAAAGCACAATAATAATTTTTAACCGGAGCTATATAATTTCAAAGCACAGTATTGTATTTTCCACGTGGCATGGATTCGATGCACTTTAATCATTTTCAGCAGGAGCTTTGTAATTTCAAAACACAGTATTATATTTTCAACGTGGCATGGATTCGATGCATTATAATAATTTTCAGCCGGAGCTATATAATTTCAAAGCACAGTATAATATTTTCAACGTAGCGTGGATTCGATGCACTCTACTAATTTTTAGCCGAAGCTATATAATTCCAAAACACAGTATTATATTTTCAACATGGCATCGATTCGATGTACGTTAATAATTTTCAGCCGGAGCTATATAATTTCAAAGCACAGTATTATATTTTCAACTTGGCATGGATTCGATGCACAATAATAATTTTTAACCGGAGCTATATAATTTCAAAGCACAGTATTATATTTTCAAAGTGTCATCGATTCGATGCACTATAATAATTTTCAGCCGGAGCTATATAATTTCAAATCCAGCATTATATTTCCAACGTGGCATGGATTCGATGCATTTTAATAATTTTCAGCCGGAGCTATATAAGTTCAAAGCACAGTATAATATTTTCAACGTGGCATGGATTCGATGCATTATAATAATTTTTAGCCGAAGCTATATAATTCCAAAACACAGTATTATATTTTCAACGTGGCATCGATTCGATGTACTTTAATAAATTTCAGCCGGAGCTATATAATTTCAAAACACAGTATAATATTTTCAACTTGGCATGGATTCGATGCACAATAATAATTTTTAACCGGAGCTATATAATTTCAAAGCACAGTATTGTATTTTCCACGTGGCATGGATTCGATGCACTTTAATCATTTTTAGCCGGAGCTTTGTAATTTCAAAACACAGTATTATATTTTCAACGTGGCATGGATTCGATGCATTATAATAATTTTCAGCCGGAGCTATATAATTTCAAAGCACAGTATAATATTTTCAATGTAGCGTGGATTCGATGCACTCTACTAATTTTCAGCCGGAGCTAT